CATCAAAAAATGTAAAACCAGGTTATTATTACTATAATAATTAAAATGTATTTAAAAAAATAATCAACAATAATCGTATTTATTCAATTTTCATATTTTCTAAACAAACAAAAAAAAAAATTCTGACCCCGCCAGGATTTGAACGCGGTCACTCGCCAGGTCTCAAATGGCAAAGTTGATAAGTTCGACATTCTAACCATCTGAGCTAATAGCCCTTACATCAATTGAATGATCTAATCAGTTATGTATTTAACCAGAATAAAGAGTACATGATATAGGATAAGTCAGTATATAAATAAAACTACAACTAAAACAAATCAAGTATAAACAACATAGCATTATTAAAGTAGGCACTCATCTATACTGTACACACAATTATCTATTAAATAGTTTTTTAATTTTATTTTAAAAATATTATAGGGGATGGTTGTATTAATCGAGGATGGAAGATGATTAAAAAGAGTAAGTCCAGAGTAGTGTGGGCTGAGTTCAAATAAAGCTGATGAATGTTTTGGAATACGAATTGCTTCATTGTTTCGAGTGGGGTAATTATGATTATCTTGATTTTTAGAAAACGATGAATGATTTTTTTTAACATACAGAATGGTTTTAAAAATGTATATGGCTGGGAATGTGAGTATATTATATTTTTTAAAATGATCCCTACATGTAGTTCTTGTTTCTAAATTGAAAATTAGTTTAATAATTCTTTTTTGATTAATAAAAACTCTTAAAGCATTTGTACAGTTTCCCCACAGGATAACGTTATAAGAGAGATAAGAATAAACAAGAGCATAGTATACCTGAAGAAGTTGATTAGTATTGAAAATATTTTTTAGCTGTAGGATTGCATAATAAGTGCTGTTTAACTTTTTACAGATAAAATTGACATTTGAATCCCAATTCATATTGCTGTCAATCATAACTCCTAGGAACTTAGTTATATGAGAGAAAGAAATGTCCTCTGATAAAACTTTTACACTTATATTATCAGTTATCCAATTTTTAGAAAAAAATTGCATAACAACAGTTTTGCTAGAATTTAATATTAAGGAATTTATTTTGCACCATACAGTAAATTGATATACTAAATTATTAAGTTTTAAGAGAAGCTCCGCAGGAGATTTAGCATCAGCTGCCAATGTGGTATCATCAGCAAACATAACAGTAGGTTGTACAAAAGAACCGAAAAAAACTTGTAATAACTAGACAGGAAAGACATGTGTTGGACACATCAGATTTTTATGTAAAATACTGAAAATAATTTTTTTTGCAAAAATGGTACACATAAACTATAGGGATAAAAAACACCATGATTCATCCCTTTAGCTTTAGAATATTAGTTGACAGATGCAATGTTAGTATGAGTTTATTTAATTTAGGTAGATATCTTTAAATAAAGAGTTTATAAAGATTGATCCACAATAGTAGTTTGTGCAACAAGAGTAGATATGATGGCCATATGTAATATGTACAATTCACTCAAGTTATACAGTATATTTTTTTATGATCCACTAACAAAAATTTCAAAAAATTACTTAAGAGATAATTAAGATAAAATGACTATTTTAATAATAGTTAATGACTCTCATTAATTTATTAAATAAAATAAACTTTAAAAAATATACAATATATTTGTAAATATACTCGAATATCTTGTGAAATGCATTTATTTATCCTTTCTTCACAAGAATCATTCATTTTTAATTACATTTAATCTCAATAACTAAAAAATATACTGTTAATTAGTTTGACAGAATTGTGACTTATTTAAAATATTAAAAAATAAAGTTAATTTAATAAAACAGTTTTCACGTTTTTTTTTCACATATTATACAAACTTTAGTTTTTCTTTTTCTTGTATGACCCATATGTTTCATACAAAATTAAGTTCTCCTGATAAAACACCCAGTTAATGTTTTTTTTTTTACTTAAAACCAACTGGAAAGCCATACATTGTCATAGAAATCTTTCAGAAATGCCTACAACTTTGAAAAAATACTGGCAATCCATACGGAAATCGCCACAGTCGCGAGATATCTATTGAAAATCAATGCCCAGTAACTAGAAATTTGTAGAAGTCACATGGAAATCACCACAGTCATCTAGAAATCGCCATATGATTGCGGAAATCAGGTGAAATCGGCAATACATGTACATTGTTACAGAGAGTGGTTTGCCCCTCCTGTAAATTATAATGAACACTTTAGTATAATGACCCTATTTTCACAAATAGTATTTGAAAAATAACCTTATATATGTCAGCTAATCCAAACAAGAACTACAATAAACAAATCCTAAATAATAGGCATCTTCTATACCGGGTGTTCAAATTAAAGTGTTACAGTTAAATACCGCCGAAAATATGCATTTTAGAAAAAAAAGTTTCAGACAAAAGTTTTATAGTTTTTTGGGGGAAACATTTTGGCTAAATTCATTTTTTTTATAGCTGACCATAATATGGCCATATCGAGGTGAACTTTGTTTTTTTAAATGGGAATCCCATTTTTTTCTTACATATTCTTAAAGTACATAAAAAAATAAGAAACTTTTGAGGGAAATATTTTTGTTATTGGACTTTTACTTTTTGAGTAACAGCTACTACTTGAAAATGTTGTTGCGCGAAAAAAAAGTTGGCCATATTATGGTTAGCTATAAAAAACGATATTAGCCAAAAGTTTTTCCCTACAAAACTATAAAACTTTCGTCTGAAACGTTTTTTTTTTTTTTTTATAAAAAGCTGTATATAGCTGTAACGCTTTAGTTTAGAACACCCGGTATAATGCACTTCCATCCTACATCCATAATCTACTAGCAAAAAAGTAACAGAATTAAAAATATATTACTGGACATCTGTGTCTATATAACATTAACGATTATTTTGTAATAGTGAAACATGTCACCTAATATTTTTAATAGGTATTTGTGTATTTTTTTTTTAAGTTTTTTATTACTATTACCAAGCCATAGGTATGATTTTTTAAAATCCTATTTTATTTTAACACTATCACTGCCAGTGTAACATTGATGTACACCAACAACTTTTTGTTGTAAGCTGCAGTGTATCATTGTTGTTATACCTATCATTGACTTTATATGGGGAATTGATTTTAATGGTGTAGGGCTACATCTTGATATATAGAACTTTGGCCTCTGACGATTCTTTTATCAACCGCTAAATATTCACAAACAGTAACTTATAAATTATGATAAATATTTATAAATGTCTGAAAAATACTAAACTAAATATTTCACAAAATTGTAACAAACATAATATATGGGGAAAATAAAAAAATATGAACTCTGTTAAGAACACACAATGAATGTTTCTCATTAAAACAGGATTTGCAGTAATGTGGATTGCCTTCACATTGTTTTCTATTGGTGTATAAAAATGTTACACTTGGTGCAGGATAGTAATTTCCCTCCTAGGCCAGTGTAATATTTTTGTACGCCCTACGAAAACAAACTAAAAAATATAAAAAAACGCCAAATATAACTTTTTATTAGCAAAACCTAACATATCAAAAAATTGAAAAATAAATTCTGGTCTAGATCATCCAAGGGCTGGTGTATTTTAATGTTACACCTGGTGGTGAGAGTGTTAAAGTTTCATGTATGCAAAATGTAGTGTATTTTACCAATATTATAATGGATGTATTTATATATTATGTAGTCATTGCCTCGAGTATTACTAAGAATAAATAATTTTTATATGTCATTATGTAGGCTACACACCAGCTAAGTATTTTAATAATACCGATGTTTCAGATAAATTTCTCATATTGGGTCTAATGTTCTTATTTTTAGAGAACAATTGAACAGGTGTCAATTACTGGAAAACTGTCAATTATTGGTAACTACACTTACTTTAGCCAAGAAATAATATAATAATAATAATAACAAACGTCTTTATTTGCAATATAGATTACAAAATAAGGTGCACATTAGAGCGAGATTTAGACTATGGCTTAAATGAAGATGATGTGATGACAATATCCTCGACAATATCATAATTAGGATAACTTACTAAGGAGCATTATTTGTGTACTTTCTCAGTTGTCATAGCAACAGAGAGCACATAAAGTATACAATTAATTACACATTAATGTAAAGACAACACAAGATAAAATTCATTGCATTTTAACTGTCAATAAAAACAGTTAATAGCCGATTGTAAAATTAATGAACCTGATTAACTTTGACAGATGTTTAGACTGCAAATAATTTGACATTCAGACCTAATATCACATTCTCATATTCTCAAGCTCTGTCATTATTAGGTTCATAAATTTTAGTGAACGTTCCTGCAACAAGCTGTTATTATTGATATTCACACAATTCAATCATTTTAATCATTTTGATTAATTTTGTTCATTTATGACAAATAATTATCAATTTTTACTATTTAATATTAGTATTAGGTACTACAAACATTTTACTTAATGATTAATAAATATTAAACTTATTCTTATTTTTGCTCTTTTGAAAAATCCATAAATTACCAGGCACTATTAACCCAGAGAAAAACCATTTTGAAAGTTGATCCATCTTGCAAAATTGGATCAAAGATCAACTAACTTTATAATGTTTGTTGTTAGCTAACAGCTGCTATCAATTTGCCAGGAAAAAAGTGTTAATTGGTCGATTAGAGAATTATATTCTAAAAATTAATTTTGAACTTCCCGCCACTGATTTAGGAAGAAATGCTGGACACACCTACAATTCAATCCAAAATTATAAACATCGGATAATTCAATTAGCATATTTTATATAATTATGTAATTGAGTGGGGTGTTTTTAGCAACCTGTAACATCAAAACTAGGCCTACTGGTAAAGTAAAACAGGGCTTTAAATAATAATTTGACAGCCGCCATGACAGTCCCTGCACCTGCTATTCGACATCAATTATAGCTATTTGCATGCCTGCTATTCAAAATTGCATGCTAATATCGACACCTCAAGGATCAGGAGGTCATAGGACAGTAATTATACTTACTTTCCAAAGCTATGCAGCCGTCCTAAACCAATCACCTATAAAACTATCCAATGGTGCTCGGAAAATCACAACCACATCGGTTTACATACATAGAAAATAGATTGTCCACTCCTAATATTCATGTAGAATTTGTTTATAAAAGTCTCATAGATAAAAAACCATTACTCGCACACTGTACACACCAAATTTTCCAATTTTCACTGGGTTTTTCACCACTTTCGTTCCTTGGGCGCGGTGAATACGACCGGTACCGTCCCTTCTCGTCTATCGTAACGATTATGGACCCGATTTGTGACGTCAGAACTTCCATTTTGAATATGGCTCGCTATCTAGCGATAATTTTCGAAATTACATTCAAATAGTGTAAAGAAAATTACCAACATACATTTCGAGGTTTCCAAGGTTATGTATACAAGATGTAGATGTCGCTATTCGATAGATTATTTAAAGGCAAGCTTGATTTTACAGTGCGTCTCCCATAAAGTAGTAATTTTATTATTAGCTATACGGGGGATCCCTACTATTTCATAGGGACAGTATTGCTATTTCTTAATTTATTTATATCTACAGGAAGATTCAAAATATCGGACAAAATATGAAAATTGTCATATCTTTAAATTCATTCATTCATTCATTCTTTAAATTTACGATGATACTTGCCTGGCAGAGCGAAATTTAATCGTGAATGCCTTTGTATCAGCTGATCAGCTGTCGGGTGCATCGCTGAGATGGTATCACAGATACCGACGTTGCACAGTGGAACGAGCTTATGGCAGCTGATGGACATTGGAGATTTTAAGTTTAGATTATTAATTAAAAATCTTTTGCACTTTTTTTCTAGTTCATCATGACACTAACTAGTTAAGAAACATTGTTATGCGAGCCATTTCATTATTCAGTCATGCCCTAATACTCCAAGTCCCTCTCTGTCTTATTTGGCCTTTGAGGCTCAACTTGTCCGATTATCATACATATTTAAACCCCTTAAGATCAAACATATGTGACGGCTATGGCGAAGGCGCTTTCAAGTACATTCCAGATTGAACGTGATAATGTTACAAGTGTTTGTGAGAATTGGTCAGAACATTGTAGAATCTTCGCCAAAATTTTAAATGTGTATATAAATATTGGTAGAGGAACACGGAGCAGTCAGTCGTATACAAATAAAATAATAGTCAACAATTTAGACATTCGAAATATATAAATTAGAATAGTATTGATTGTAAATAAATAAATGTGTTCAAATAAATTATTAACAAATAAACTGTTGGTTAAAATAAACAAACGCCCAGATAGCACAAAGTCGTCTTAAAGACGTCTAGCATAAGACATTCGAGACGTCTTTAAGACGTCTGGTATTTCCTGAAAGACGTCTTAGAAGACGTCTGATGTTACAAAAAGCGACGTCTTTAAGACGTCTTATTAATGGCTTATATTGGTCTGTAGAGCTTAAAATAAGCCATAAATAAGACGTCTTTAAGACGACTTATTAATAGCTTGTAATGGTCTTTGAAGCCTTAAATAAGACATCAATAAGACGTCTTTAAGACGGCTCATTAATAGCTTATAATGATCTTATGAAGCCTTAAATAAGCCATAAATAAGACGTCTTTAAGACGTCTCATAAATGGCTTATAATGGTCTTGTGAAGCTTTAAATAAGCCATAAATAAGACGTCTTTAAGACGACTTATTTATGGCTTATAATGGTCTTGTGAAGCCATAATTTATCGTGCATCTTGGTTATTAAAATTAGTAGAATAACCTTGCAGGTTATAAAGAATGCAAAAAATAGAATTAAAAATATTTATTAATAAAATATCTATTAATCACAGGTCACTAAGAGTTATTTTCTTCGTAGCAGATTCGATCACTCTTCTTTAGCCATAACTGGATTGATTTTTTTTTTTGGAATTTGAAGTTGCCTTTGTATAGTCGCTTCTAAAAAGAAATGTAGGTAAGAGCATTATAGTCACAGGAAGTTATACTTTATAAAAGTTAATAAAAACCGAAAGAACAATTATGAAACAGAACAAAAAATTAATTTCCTACAATTTTAAATCAATTTTTATAACAAATCATTTAAGACGAGATGAGCTATTATACTTAATCGCCTATTTTGACAATTTTACTTTAACTTCACTCAAAATGGCTATCTTGAGCCTTGGTTTCTTTGAACACTTCGTCGCGGTGAGCGGACAGTCCGTCAATCGTCGCGTTTTGACGATTTTATCCAACCAGAGTATTTAAATGGGAATGGTTTTCTTGAATCCACTTAGCTGAGCAGGACGGCGTCATGCCGCTGATTTTTCGCGAAGGGTCGGTTGATATCTGTTGAGTTTGATATCAGCGGAATCGTCGGCGTGTGCGGAGACTATATTGTTATTAATTTTAAAACAATGAGTGACAAATTCACACATACAGATGACATCATGACTTTATTTTTAGGTTTCTTGGAAAGTATGTCCTTTATAAAACTCAACACGAATTCTAAAAGATCTGTAGAAAGTCCCTAAATTTGGTTTCATTTCCAAAAAGCCTCCGCTGCACAGTGATATTAAAGGCACCTTCTGTATCGCGACACAAAAACAACTCATCCACTGGCTTATTGGAAACTTTGACGGTTGCAATTGCCAGTTCCTCTTGTTTTTCCTCTTCCAACAATAATAACAATGCAAACAATTTATTTGCATCCATTTTAGTACCTTTCGTTTACATTCATAATACATAAACAGCACGTACAGACATAGAGAAAGTATCATTTTCTATATTTTTTAACAAACCACCTCGGGCGAAAATTGCTGTCCTCAGCGGTCGACGGACTGTCCGCTTACCGCGACGGAGTGTTCAAAGAAACCAAGGCTTAACATGTGGCCTTTGATATCAATAGTTCTCATCGAAATCTCCATAAAATTTAAAAAATGGAAATTGACGAATAACTGAATTAAATCTTATATTAAGATGTTTACTCTTTAATTCATTTAATTATTCTTATTTAGAAGAAACAGAATATTAATGATTATGTATATAAACAAATATTCATTTATTACCTGTAGAAAGTATTCCAGGAACGTGATACATCGGTAACAGAAACTCCACTATTCTTCCTTCTCTGGTTTTAGCATAGAAATAGTATAGAAAGCCGATTCCATATATCAAAAATGAAACCATAAGGAGAAAATAGTGTGTCGGAGCTCATGCGTATAACGGTGCTGGCTCGAACAGGACCGGTGCAAGTTTTTTATTGATCGAACAAATAGTTAAGTCAGTCATACATTTTTAGAGGTAATTCTATATAGAAAACGATAAAAAAAATTCAAGTTAAGGTAAATATGGTTCTGAAAGTCCTTATTAAAGAAAGATATGACATAAAATATGAATTAGTTAATTTTCGGCAATCATTAGTACTGTAGTCACGAGATTTTGCTTGCTATTTGACATCTTATTTGGTTTAGTATCATTTGCTATAACAATGTTGTTTTGAACTAGTCAAAACATTTTCACTCGAACGGCGTGCGTGATTCTATTTAAAAATACTTTCCAGAATAAAACCACGTGTTCCGGTTTTGACTTCGTTTAATATTAAACAGCGAAGTTATATACAAAAACGTTAATCCACAATCTAAATTAGATAATCACTGTTACAAATCATTACTTAACCAAAAACTAAAATACTTTTTAGGTATGTAACCTGAAAGGTGCTGAAACATTTTATCCTAATATTGATTTTCTTTTTGGGTAAAACTTAAAGCAATAACAAATTGCCTATCTACTAGCAGGGTCGGTAACTAAACGTATGTACAGAATGGGCGGATTTTGTTCATACTTAACATTATACTCGCGCACTGACGCTTAACCTGGATTAAATATAACTATACATATAAATATTTACAAAGATAATTTTCCAAACAGGCAAACATTAGTACTGTAGTCACGAGATTTTGCTTGTGATTTTACATTTTTTTTGATAGTATCATTTGTTACAACTAAATTTAATCTGGGGAGTGCAATGTTACCATTTTAAATATAAATTAAAAAATTAAATACTACTACATTTACTTGGTACGAGTACATAATTTATTTTAATTTTGAACCCTTTTAAAAGAGTCTTTCGGTTCCATAATAAAAATTAGTCGCTGCTTACTAGAAACTTTCTATATAGTCTAAACTAATTTATGGATTGTTTTCGATCAATTTAATACAAAGATTTAAAGTTTTTAGTCAATGATAACATTCCACATCAGCACATTGCAAACCTATTTTATAAATAATAAGAATAAACTTGTAAATCATTAATTTGGTAGTTATCTCACTTATATGATTCTTTTGATTTCTAAATATATTTTGGCCTTACAATACAAAGCGTTTTGTATCTACCACTTTTTTAATGAACGATGAATGTTGACAGGCGTGTACCTATTTCGGAACAAGAGGCGCTTTAACGACGGAAATGATTTTCGAACTATCCAGTTAGTTTTCGGAAAACTAGAAAACGTTTGAAGAAAGTCGTCAATAACAACGGGTCGTTCATGTGTTTCATTTTGATCAGCTTTCATTCTAAATTGCATAAAATATTCTTCCGATTCAAAATCGAGATTCTCTATATTTCCACAGTTTATTTATAATTTATAATATCTTCTAAACTCTTTATCTATCATTTTATATACTTTATAATATATGTTCACAACCTACTTTGCACTTTATTAACATTTTTTTTTAACACTTCAAAATGGGAGGATATTCTCAATATCGTTGAAATATTTTTTTATGTATGTTGAGCGATAATTCTTTACCACGTTGCCCGATTTCTATGATTCTCTTTTTGTTAGAAAAGGAATAGTTTTATATACATTTAGTCAAGATCTGAAGATGGGATCCATGAGAAAATCATTAACATCTTTATTTTTAAAGTAGGTGTTTTAATATTTCTTTAAACCTTACTGGCTCGCACGCGGTAAAAAATGAAGAAATGAAAATAATTGTTGTGCCAGCCAAAAAGCAAAGAGGAAGTACCGATTAAAATATCGAGTGACAGAAGAGTTTCTAAGTTCGTTGAGATCGGGTTTTGTTTTAAAATGCCTTAAAACCCGCATTTAAAAGTATACCATGCCAACTCGGCCAGTGATGCCATAAATGTTAGGTAAAGGTACAATTTAATAGGGTTCATTTTAAAATTCTTTATTTTAAATTATACCCGACTGAAACACGGTCTCAGACGTCATGAGCGTTGTGTAAAGGTAATATTCCAAATAAGCAACATTTCA